CTTAAGCAGTAAGTCATAGACTTGAGCCATTCAGTCAGCTGTTAGCACCTGTACTCTTTGTCTCCTTGGCCATTCACTCCTCAGTTCTTCTTCAGCAATTCAGCAAAATCAGGCTATGAATAGTCGGCAAAATCAACACTAAACTAGATAATCTATTCTTCTTCTTGCTAGTATTCAAACTTAAAACGATATTAGTGTTTAGAGTTTAGAAAACAGACAATTAGACATTTAGACTAACAATACTAAGCAATTATTCACTAGGCTAAGTGGCTCAGAGTGCAATTTTTCATATCAAGTAAGAATGTGGGCACATTGCTCTGAATGTGTTATATTAGCACATTGGCAACATACCAACTCCATTCCATTTATTCAGACAAAAGTGGAAGCTTCATCATAGCCACCAAATAAAACAAATACATTCAAACTGAAAACAGAGCAAGGAAGAGTTATACCAGAATTTCAAACTGCAGAGAATGGGCAAAATTGGGCTCAACTCATCTAATGGCAGCAACAAATCAATAACAAAAAGTTGCCAAGCCACTTAGAGGCTAAACACCACTTACAACAACATAAGTACATAACAGAATATCAAACTGATTAAAGAAATGAACACATTGTAAACAAATATTAAAAACATTACAGTGATTGTAGGCAACATTGATGGTATAGTAGATGAAGCTCCAGTGGGCAATTCTGCAAAAGTGAAAAACAGAATAAGTAAGAAAGAAAGTGAAAAGGAAATAAACTTAATAAAGAATAAAAAAAAAGTAACTAAGAAAGTGATAAGTCTTACCTTTCTCTAATCTTTCAACCTCCTCCAAGTTCTCCTCAACTTGGATTGGCTGATTAGGTGCCCTCAACCAATCTTGAGTACATATTAGTGCTTCCACTATTTTAGGAGTCAAGGAACTCCTAAATGGATCAAGTACTCTTCCAGATGTACTAAAACAACTCTCAGACGCAACTGTGGAGATAGGAACTGCAAGCACATCTCTAGCCATTTTGGAGAGAATAGGAAATCTCTCACTATGGCTCTTCCACCACTTTAACACATCAAAAGCAACAGATTCATCATCCTCCACAAGACTTTCACTTAAGTATACTTGCAGCTCAGTTTGCTTACTGCTTCCACTACTTTCCAGTCTTTTTTTTTTTTTTTTAGGTTGGCTCATCAAAGATGACTGAGGCCTACCAACTGTACAAGTAGTAGCTTGGTTAGCCTCTGACTGGACTGCTTGAGTAGAGGATGCAGTCTGGGTAGAACTGAGAGAGTATGTAGCTGCATAGTCATCATATAAAGCAGCCATTGCAGATTGGACCTTGGTAAAACAAGCTTTGCCTTTCTCTTCTCCATACAACTGGGCAAACTGATGAGGTATGTACTCCTCCTTATCTCTGGGGTCCAGAATATTGGCAAAAAAAATGATAGAGTTCATTTTTTCTGGATCCCCCCAATATTTGTCAAACTTGTTCATCATTTGTGTCCCCATTGCCTAAAACAGAAAAAAAGAGTTATTAGTTTACAGAATTACAGCAATTACAAAAAATAATAAAGCAAACAAATTTAAAGATAAATGAGAATACTTTTTCAGTCCCATGCTCAGAGTTCACCATAGCTTCAAGCATGCAACTGAGATCAGAGATCTCAGAGAAGAATGTGTTGGATGTGACATAAAGTGAACCAGAGATCCTCACTGTCATATCATAAAATGCTTTCAACAGCTTCACTAAGCTTTCCACAGAACACCAATCCAAGAAGGTAGGAGCACTCCCCAAGTCAGCAGAATAAGAGGGGTCATTTCTCTCATATGCATCAAACACTACTTGATATTGAACTGCAGTGTTGAGCATAATGTAGGTGTTGTTCCACCTTGTAGGGACATCAAGATGCAAAGCTGATTTAGCTTCCACACCAAACAGTTCAGCAAACTCCCTGAACTTTGTCAGCCTAGATGGTGAGTTCCTAACCCATCTCACTGCATCCCTCACCCTCTTGACTGACTCATCTGCAAACTTCAACCCATCTTGGACCACTAAATTGAGGATATGGGCTATGCACCTCATGTGCATGTACTGAACCTTAACAGAAGAAGAACCCCAAGACAACAGTTTACTCTTAAAAACCCCCATAGCTGTGTCATTAGAGGAAACATTATCCACTGTTACAGTAAACACATTCTTAATTCCCCACTTTAATAAACAACTCTCTAGGGCTTTTGCAATGTACTCCCCCTTATGAGAAGAAACTGGGACAAATGATATAATTTTTTTATTCAGCTTCTACTGGTCATCTAAAAAATGTGCAGTAATGCACATATAATTGATTCTCTGGACAAAAGTCCATGTATCAGTTGTTAGACTAATCCTTTGAGTTCCCACTCTAAACAACTTCTCAAGGTTTAGCCTCTCATCAAGAAAAATTTGGTAGATGTCCCTAGAAATGGTCCACCTAGAAGGGATAAGAAACCTAGGACAAGCAACCAGAATAAACCTCTTGAACCCCTGGTCATCTACAAACCTAAAAGGGAGCTCATCTATGATTATCATCTCACAAAGGGCCCTCCTAATGGCATCTTGATTAAATACCCATGTCCCCAAAACACCCCCAGGAGCCTCTGTTCCACCCTCAGAAGTGGACAGAGTGTTGAATGTGAGTAGAGACTGCCTTGTATCCTTTGAATGAGGATTTTTAAGGCAACTGGCCATATGATTTCTTAATGATGATGTGCCATGTTTTTTAGTTTCACAAAAATACTCTTTTGCACAGTAAAGGTATTTGCCTTTAAGCACTTTTTTAGTTTCAGGATCTTTGATCTGTTCAAAGTGCTCCCACACTATGGATCTAGACTTTAATTCCTTCTTCTTCTTAACAGCAGGAACTTTAGGAGTGGCCATAGGCTGTTGAGCACTTGTCTCAATGCCTGGGATTTGTACTCCTTGTTCATCCACTGTTGAAGATGGAAGAGGTCCAGTTCCAGTTCCACTTATATTTTGATTGCTCTCAATCTAAAAAGATTTATGGATGAGCAAATTGGATTCACATTTCACACAAGCACACATAACTGACATAAGGCCATACACTGTCACACTGATATGTATTCCCATCATGATTCATGATTCATGAACTCATCATTTTATGAAAATGGCCACAATTCCCACAAATTAGGGCTTAACAGTAAACACTCAGTACTGAGTACTGACATACATAATTACATATAACACATTAACAAATGCATTCCATAATCAGGAGTCATGAATCATGAACTCGTCATTTTATGGAAATGCCCACAAATTAGGGCTTAACACTTCCATAGTCAACCATCAACCTATCAACAATTCAAGTATTCAACAACATTCATTCCAATTTCCAAATTCCAACAGTCATAAATTCATAATATCAATTACAATTTCAGTAAGCTTCCACAGTTCCACACTTCCACCACCACCATACATTTTGAAATAAAAAATTTAAGGTTCATGCAACAAATTTAAGGGCCCTTTACCATAAACTTACAAACACATATCAGAATAAGCACAAATTCATCACGTATGTGGAAAGCCCTAAAAATTAGGGTTCAGTTACAAATTAGGGTGCATGCAACATCATAGAACTAGAACAGAACAGACAAACTCACAAACATGCAACGGGAAAATAAGAAAAAACTGACAGAGTTACATTTTACTTGTTTTCTCAAAGGTTCCCTCTGAGATCTAGGGCTTTAAGGCGTCAAACTTCCACTGCCGTCCGGCTTCTTCCTTCTTGCCATCTTTCCAGTTTGCGTAGAGCCACAGACACTTCCATAAGATTCCCGTCGAACTGTCGAAGACTCGAAGCCTCGAAGGAGTCGAAGGGGAGTTCAGACTCTCAGACTTCAGAGACTCTCAGACTCAGAGTTCAGAGAATCAGAGATTCACCGGAGAAGGCGATTATGGAAGAAGATTAGATGAGAAGGACTGAAGGAATGAAGGACTGAAGATCGGATGGGGATGGCTAGATGAGACTAAGGAGAATTCGAGAAGAAGCTCTGAGGAGTGGAGAGTCTCAGAGGACAGAGAATGGAAATGGCAAACCCTAGATCTACGCAAGGTTTTATACTTAGGCCATACTTCGGATCTCGGACGGGTTCGGATGGGATATTCCCTAACCCTACCCGTCCGTCTTTTATAGGTTCACGCTTAGGGCCGGTTCGGATATTATCCGAACTTCTCAGATTTCATCACCGTTCGGTAAACACTAGTTCGGATCGGACGGGTAATTCGGGTGGTTCGGATATTGCACAGGCCTACCCGTCATGAATGGTGATTTCTTTCCTTTTTTAGTCTACCTCAATCTCCATTCTCTAAATTTTGTCTTTGTACTTATCTCTCATCAAAGAAGAAAATTGTCATCCCCACGTTTATCTCTTTGTTATAAGTTTGTCTAAACACAAATTATTCCGTGGACTCGAGTCCACCTTACAAGGTGGATCAAGGTTCAAAATATAAAATTTACATACTAAATGTTCACAATTTTGTAAACAGTATATGTAAATTGTGAACATTAAATATGCAAATTGTGTATTTTGAATCCAGATCCACCTTACAAGGTGGACCCCAGTTCATGATATAATAACTGATCGGTGTCAATACGGGCCAGTCCACACACGATAAGGGCCAAGTTAGCTTGGGCCTTAAAATTCCATACATGTCTATTAGTCAGTCTAAGTAACCCAAGTAATGTGAATCCGGCCCAAACACCCCATGACCCGATCCATAGCAGACGCAAATCTCTCAATCAATCAGTGAACGGTGAAAGTTGCCGGTATCGGCACGTCATTGAAATAATTGGGAGAAGAAAGATTCCAATTCCAGCTCTCTCATTGGCTACATTCTACCGCCTTTAATTTTCTCCGTTTACGCCGCCACCCCACCGTAACGGACGGGCTCAGTCCGACCGTCCGTCGCCGACGTCACAATATTTTTTTTTTTTTTTTTTTTTAACGTTAACAAAGAATAACGTTAACTGTTACAAAGAACGACGCGACGTTAACGACAGAATTGTCAGATCATGGCGATCGAATCAAAGGCGGCAGGCCAGCCAGAAATCATGGCGTCATTGCTCCGGCAAGGAGACGGAATTCTCGGAAACAAGTACCGTAAACCCGGACCACTCACCTTCCACGTGTCTTTAACGACGCCGTCAAACTTGAATGCCCAACGCCTCTGTTTTTTCCGTCAGCCGATAAATTTCAATTCAAAAAAAATAAAAAAAATTTAAAAGTCCGCTCCTCACCACAACAAAGTCGGGTCATTCATTTCCGCCGGTCAACCCAAACCCTAGTTTTCTCCACCCTCTCTACCAATCCCTCTTTGCTTCGCCTTTCTCGCTCTGCCTGATTTAACTTGAGAGAGAGAGAGAGAGAGAGAGAGAATCGGATTTCAGATCGGCGTTGATTTTCCGATCCGGCGTGGATTGATGGAGGACAACGAGGAGATGCGGTCGCAATCGTCGAAGGATACGGCGTCTCCGGCGTCGCCGAGATCTGACGGGAGGATAGCGGTGACGGTGGCTGTGTCGGCGCCGCCCTCCACCAAGGCGGTGGCCGTGGCTTTACCCGTGCAGCAGCAGAGTAAACCGGCGGGCGGCGGCAGAGAGGATTGCTGGAGCGAGAGTGCGACGGCGGTGCTAATTGAGGCGTGGGGGGAGCGGTACCTGGAGCTGAGCAGGGGGAATTTGAAGCAGACGCACTGGAAAGACATTGCGGAAATTGTTAACGGCCAGGGGGGAGATTTTACAAAAACCCCAAAATCTGATATTCAGTGTAAGAATCGGATCGACACCGTGAAGAAGAAATTCAAGCTGGAGAAGGCAAAGATTTCGGCTGGCCATGGGCCGAGCAGGTGGGCTTTCTTTGACAAGATGGACTGGTTGATCGGCCCCGCCGCTAAGATCAACAACGCCGCCGGAAGTGGCGGCGGCTATGAACCTCCGGCGAACACCGGGAACCACAAGGTGCCCATGGGGATCCCCATGGGAGCTAGGTCAGCTCCCCCTCTCCGGCAACACCAACCGTCACCGCCGCCGCCGCAGAAGCAAAAACAGGCTTTTCAAAAGCCTCCGCCGGCGTATTCCGACTCCTCCGACTCAGAAACCGAGGTCTCCGCCGATAGCTTACCCCCAGCCACCAACGACAGAAAGAGGCCGAGGGGATTCATGAATTCCAGTTTCGTCAAGCCTGAAATGCAGAGAGCAACGGGAACTGGAATTGGGGAGAAACATCAAAACTGGGGGAAATCAATTGGGGAGCTGAGTGAAGCCATCTTGAAATTCGGGGAAGCATACGAGCGAACGGAGAGCGCGAGGATACAGCAGATGGTGGAGATCGAGAAACAGAGGATGAAGTTCGCCAAAGAAATGGAGTTGCAGAGAATGCAGTTCTTCATGAAAACCCAGATGGATCTCTCGCAGCTTCACAACCGGAGCCGCCCAATAAAGAAGGCTAACAATAACAAAAACACCGCCGCCGCCGCCACCATCAAGAACAGCAACAACATCTCCAGTGGTAACATTAACTAGGAATCCAAAACCAAGCATCAGACTAATGTTAATTAATTCAGAAATTGTGTAGAAGAGCATCTAATTTGGTAATGTTGAATTAATTAATGCTCATTCATGTTGTAAACTTGGCATTAACATCTTCAATGCAAAGTCCTTTCAGCATCGCTTCAATTCCATTCGATCTGTGCCTTCAATGGCGTAATTGCTTGATTGCTTTGCCCAAACATCACGGAGGGTGGAAAGTAGTGTATATGTATTTGCGTTGACTTTTACTGCCAATTTATTATACAAAATCACGGCCTCCGCGGTTAACGTACCATTGTATGAATATGGAAACTAATAGTATATATTAAACTAACATGTTATGTTTCATTCAAATTCAAGCATACATTATGCTGTCAATTAACCTAGCTTAAAGCCACCCATAACCTAATGCCTCCTCGTGAAAAGGTGTCTCATTTTTTGGGTGAGACAAAAACTCTAACTTGAGCGGTTTAGCAGCTCGTCAGTCAACTTTAAGTAAATTAGTCAGATTTTTTACTTGATAACCACACACTTACCAAAGCGGCCCATTGGCCTACTTAGGTTAGGTTACTTCTTAGTGGAGGCTTAATTTACCCCGTGAACACACAGAACACCTACATGTACATTAACTAGGAGGATGATGAACTTAACTTACTTGTGTTGCAATAAAAAATGTATCACACAGGTTGTCATGTCAAAAAATCTTGTTATTGAGGCAACCCATCCATCGAAATTAGTTGTTGACTTGCTAGTTCGACTCTGGAAGCTATCTATTGACCTATCAAGGTTGGTTTACCTCGCTCAGTGTAAGTGGTTCTTTATCAAGTAAGCTAGAGTTGGAAAGGGAAGTTTATCTATTACACACTTTTGAATAGTGGCATACATGTACATACTACTTGACTTGGAGGATGATTAACTTAAAGGATGGTGTTTCATTGAATAATGACTAAAATTTTGCTTCTCTTCTCCTGAATCTTTCTCCTTTGCTTTCCCAAACAGCATTGGGTTTATTAGAGGATTCAGCCATACTCTTTGCAATCACACTCCAAAAAGCCTCACCTTTCCACCACCTTTTCCGCGTCAACCCTTTCTAGCTTCACTACCATGCATCCCTTTATATAAACCCTAAGCCATATCTCATCATCATCAAAGCAATTAAGTAGCAAAACCCCGACAACTAACTTCTCAACCCCTTTCGCCTATATATACCTTCAATTCAATTCCATCTATCATCCCCATTAAGTAACAAAAAGATCGAAAAAAAAATGAAGCCAATCAAACTAGTTATCGCCATTGCCATTACAGTGGTGATAAGCACCGCGCTGACAATGAACAGCCTCAAGGACGACAACGTGGACAGGGACATATCCGAACAGAAACCACCGGCGGCAACGGCGGCGCCGTCAAGAAGACCCAGCAGCCGTTTTCTGGCGGAGCAGAAGAACCCCAGAGCGGCGGACCACTGCAAGGACGACAACGAGATCTGTTATCTGGTGGAAGGGAAGAACTCCACGTGCTGCAACAACAAGTGCATGGATTTGGGCTACGACAAACACAACTGCGGGGCATGCAAGAAGAAATGCAAGTTCACGGACACGTGTTGCAGAGGGGAGTGCGTGAACGTGGCGTTTGATAAGCGCCACTGCGGGGAATGCAACAATCGCTGCATGCCTGGAGGTTACTGTATATATGGCCTGTGCGATTATGCCTAAGAATTTATGTTTCTTCTGGTCGCGCACACACACATATATATATACACTTACAATTGCATGTCCTGGTTTTGATTGGTTATTTTTCTAAACTTTGTGGTGACTGAATTAATGTAATAAAGATAGATGATGAGATTCATAATTTATATATGTAACTATGTTATATTATATCAAAAAAAAAAGAAGTTACATCATATTTTTTCTAGTTCATGGTAATTAATGTAAATGTTTGAGTGTATATATATATATATATATATATATATATATATATATATATATATATATATATATAAAATAAGTTGATTGTTAAAAACCATATGATTTTGAGGAGTAATATAAATATATAATCTATAATCTACTAGGAGGGTTATAGATGGGGAGTAAAGAGGAAGGAAAGGTGCATGAAACATGCAAAGTTAATTAAAAACCAATAGAAGGAAAGGTGCATTAATTACCCATTCTTGTTGAAGTAATTTATCATTTAATTAAATTAAAGTAAGAGTTGATTTCATTTTTTGTCCTTCTCCCAAAAGGTTGAATCCCCAAATCTAAGGTCCCCAACAATTCGGACAGAGTATGTGGAGGATGTAAATCACTCATTTTTGTCCTAAATTTCTAGGTGATAGTGTACTTTTAGTCATTCTTTTTTTTTTTAAGAATATTTTTCTTTGGTCCTAGTATTATTGTGACATGATCATTTTTGTCATCTGTCAACAAAATCATTGAAATGTCGTTAAATACAATGTCATGCATTTTAATTTTTATATACAAAGTAAGTTGTCCCGCTATATATATATATATGTGTGTGTGTGTGTGTGTGTGTGTGTGTGTGTGTGTGTGTGTCAAACCTTTTAATGGGGAATATTCACGGATATACCTACTTACACATACCGTATACTTGCTCAGTATCATGCATGTATCATGTAAGGTTATCGAGAGGAATCGCTCCCGACCTTGACTGACTAGCCAGACCTAAGTGTGAAGCCTGAGTAAACACTTTTTCAATATTAGACTTCGTTCCGCCTTAGGGTTGACCTCGACCTTCTTAGGTCGGGAAGTTTTCCCCGAGTTAGGCTACTTATTAAAAATTGATACTCAGATTCTCGATTTTGTGCCGGTCACATCACTTAGTGGTTGCTTATGAATATTGTAACATGTGGGCATCATAACACTGCTCCCGAGTTAGCCAATTGTCAAGCATGTCGAGATCCCGTCATGTGTTCCCTTCCTCTCCTATAAATACCACATTTTATGCGAGGGGGGGGGGGGGGGACTTTTTGTTGGCATCTTCACCTACCACGCCTTAGCTCGGAACTCTCTGATCCCACGTCTTTTACTAAGTTTAAGACTTAAACCAACAAATAGACTATAAAAATACCCGAATACGATCCGACCCCTCAATTTACATATTTGGGAACATCACCGCGAATTTATGCTATCAATTTTATAATTGAACACCTAAATGTCATTGTTTGTATTTTACAGAATTTAAACAATTTTGTTAATGAATGACAAAAAATGATCATACCACAGTAATACTATGACCAAAGGAGTCGGGATGTTGTAGAAAAAAAAAAAAAAAAAAAAGACAAAAAGTGGATTGTCTAAATCTAGGGCCGTAATGGAATTAACTCTAAAAGTAAACATGAAAATGGCAAAAAGTATTGATTAATCCGTATACCATGTATCGTGGTTCATAGTGCACTGCGAACTTTGGTACATGTGTATGTGTTTTATATATGTTGTGAGTTTTTATTTGTATTTTGTGTTATGAAATTTTGTACCTTATAAGTATGAGTTCTGTACCAATTCAAAAATAAATTAGTAATTGTGCTTTATATTATGAATTTTTGTGTATCGTTTTGTGAAATTTTTTGTGTCTATGAACACAAATTATGTACCTAAATCATATTTAAAATTAAAGTAAATATATAACATATGTATGTGTCTTGTGTTGTGATTTTTTGTGTCTTGTGTTATAAAATTATGTACCTTACGAATATGAATTTGGCTCTGTTTGGCAAACCTAGCTGAAAAGCTATAAGCTAGGAGCTGATAGCTGAAAAGGAGCTGAAAGCTGAAAAGCTATAAGCTCGGAGTTGAAAATTGAAGAGCTGTTAAGCTAGCTGTTATGATTGAAAGTGTTTGGTAAAATTAGCTTTTTGATAAACTGATAAGTGTAAAAAGACTAAAAAGGACATCTTTATAAAATTTAAATTAGTTTGTTTACATACTAAAATTTAACATTTCGTCTTCCAAAAAAAGTAAACACTTTTAAAATAAAACTATTAGCATGATCATGATCTAGCATCCTATAATGAAGTAGCAATATTGTTGCGAATCTCCTTCATCTCCATAGAGGTGTGACTTAAATTTTCGTTGATGGAGATATTACTACTTGAATCTTGAAGTTCATCGGGCGGTATGTAATCTGGATGCTGCTCAAGCACATTAAACATCATGTCATCTTGTGAATTCTTCCGAATATAATTATGTAGTGCAAATGTGGCCATAATAACATCAATTTGGGTCTCCTCACTAAACTGCGGCATTTTAACAAGTATCTTCCATCTCTTATTCAATACTCCAAACGACCTCTCAATACAACTTCGAAGAGAAGAATGTGCACGATTGAATGCTTCTTGAGCATTAGTTGGCGGCTCTTGTTCAATTTGAGATTGAAGCCATATTGCTAATTTTAAAATAACATTAATAATAATAATAATAATAATAATAAGCTAAAGTTTCAACATAATTGTTTAGCAGGAAACAAAACTAAGGAAGGGATTGACGTGAAAGTTGGGATAGGGGAAGAGAAAGGATTTTAATTCATAAGGTTAAAATATGTCATTACTTTAAAATAATAAGGATAAAGATGGAAAAAAAGTTAGGAAGCTAGTAGCTTATTTTGAAACGCTACCTAAAGTAGCGTTCCAAAATAAGTTCTTATTTTAAGCTAGGAGCTTATTTTAGGAACATTACCAAACAGAGCTTATAGCTTATTAGTAGCTTAAAATAAGCTATAAGCTCTTAGCTTAGTATTGCCAAACAGAACCTTTATATCACGTTGTTCCGACCTCGCAATAATGTTTGATAAATTGACAATAGTGATGTTATTACTAAATAATTGGGCTGACATCATATCCTCTTCTTATATTGGAGCCAGGATTCAATGAGTCTTAGACAATTACATGGCATAAAATATTTAATTTTGGCTTGTTCATGAAAAAAATAAAAATCACACAAAAGTGAGAATATTTTATTTTATTTTATTTTTTCACTAATAACCTTTTATTTTTCGGCCTCAATTATTTCGAAGATATTTTTATTATTTTCGAAAACAGAAAAATAAAAGCCACGAAAATGCTAAAGTGAATCAGGATTCAGGGCACAGACAACACAGAGAACGGTAGTTAATGGCTGCTCCGGCTGTGGAGAATGCAGCTGCCACCGCGCTACGGGCGGTGCTCCATCGTGTCCGCCTTGCCGCGGAGAGGTCAGGCCGCCGTGCCGATGACGTGAGAGTAGTGGCGGTGGGCAAGACGAAGCCCGCCTCTCTCATCCGCCAGGTATACGATGCTGGGCATACCTGTTTCGGTGAGAACTATGTTCAAGAGATTATCCAAAAGGCTCCTGAGGTGCTCGTCCCCTTCCCCTTCGTAATAATCTTCATTTATAAAGAAATCACATGAAGAAAAACTAAAAAGCTAAGAATGCTTGGCTTCCAGGGTTAAAAGGTATAATCTCAGTGTTTATTTTGGATTTACAGCTTCCTGGGGATATCGAGTGGCATTTTATTGGGCATTTGCAGAGCAATAAAGTAAAATCACTGCTAAGTATGATACTATGATCTACTTCACATAGTTACAATTCATAAACTCCTTTCACTAAATCATTTGGTTAATGATATGATTATGGATTGTGAATAATATATAATCTGCTTTGAATTGCTTCTGAATTATTGACTTAGTTAAGCCAAAAAGTATTGTGCAATTCATAATCATATAATATATCATATTTGTCAAAGATGTAAAAAAGAAAATTAGTTAATGGCATAGCCCCAATAATCTATTTAAGAAAGCTCCACCAAGAGTTAAGATGATCATACATCTAATTATATGTTTTACTAATCACGATATTATGTTTTACTTTATTATTTGCAGCTGCTGTTCCCAATTTAGCCATGGTACAGGGTGTAGATAATGAAAAGGTAACTACTATACCTTTATCATTCTTTCTGTTTCGTAAGCTGTTCTAGTATCCATTTATATATTATTGTTGTTTTTCAAGTAGCCACACTGCTTTTCTACTAAAACTTTTGAAAACTGAGTGGATCAAGGAGATTAGAAATGAGTGCAGAACTTTCATCACAGTCTCACTATGGAAAGTTTTAATACTCGTAACATTATTTGGGAAGACTAATATTTTTCTTCTTATGGATTCATATTTCATGCACAATTTGAAGATAAGTTATCCTGGTATTGACCTTAAATTAATGAACCACACTACATCTTTTCTAATGCAAGGTTGCAAATCATCTTGATCGTGCAATTTCAAGCATTGGCCGACAGCCCTTAAAGGTTTTGGTCCAAGTGAATACCAGTGGAGAAGAGTGTGAGTATATACACTTACCCGTATTATAACTCCAAGCCCCTTGATTAGTTAATTGGACCTTGACAAGGAAGTTAGCAATGTTTAAGTCCCATCATTTTAATCTCAAGCAGTGAATCAACTATCAAAGAAAAAATAAGTAAATAAAAAGAAAAAGAACTACTCTCCCGTATCATGACTTAGATAGTTAGATTGTAATGTTTCTAACTTATTTCTTCTGGTTTTGATTTACAACATTTTCTCTTTAGATATGATATCATACAAATTGACATTTGGAGCATAACCTTTCCTAAAACTGGAACTGTAAAACTTCTAGTATGCGTGGACAGCTAGTTAAAACACCTGTTTTATTTTGATAGTGGTTTTATTCCTGGGTGATGATCCGTGTAAAGAAAATTTGGCTTGCTACCCTTTGAAGGTACTAATTAATGTGTTCAATTGACTTCTTGCAGCAAAATCTGGGGTAGATCCATCATATTCTATAGAACTTGCTAAGCATGTCAAGCTGAATTGCCCAAATCTTGAGTTCTCTGGCTTAATGACAATTGGAAGACCAGACTATACATCAACTCCAGAAAACTTCAAGGTGGGGCTATAGTTTTGGGGAAAAAAATGTTCTTATCCATAATTTTGGGAGAAATTATAGTTAAAAGTTTCAGCTGGTTTCTACTTATTCAATTCACAAACCATTTATTTTGTACTCTGATTTATTTGCTGGGAATAACTTGGAATAAAATATATAAACCCTTTTTGTAATCAATCATCTGTTCTGCAACATTGCTTTGTTTCTTGAAATAAATTATTAAATAATTCTAATGGTCTTGCGTGCTTTGCGATAGATGCTATGGAATTGTAGAACTGAGGTTTGCAAAGTGCTTGGGATGACAGAGGCCCAATGTGAGCTGTCAATGGGCATGTCTGGGGACTTTGAGCAAGCGGTGAGAAGAAATTTTCTCTACATTTCTGGAAAACCTTATTCAACATAACTCCGTACATGCAGTAATTTTGTGTTGCAATGCAAAAGCCGAAGTGCTAACATTTTGCTCCTATGCAATTAATGGGCATACAACGTCTAAATCCTGGAATGATATCAATTGAATTGGCTATACTTGTTGGTCAAGAGCACCCTTCCCTTAGATATTGACAATTTCCAAGACCTCACTTGTTTGCTAAACCAAAATCTTTGCCATCTTGCATAGTTTCATTTCCCCCAACTGTTTTTAAAACTGGGATGGAAATTGTTTCAAATGGTATACTTCTGGAATCTATCCTCGTTTTTCTTGTGGCACCCCACTTTAATCTGTCAAGAGGGGAGAGTGAAAGATTCTTATAGATCTGGTGAGATGCCTTTTTGTTATTCTATTCCTTTCAAGCATGCTTGAAATATATGGAAATTGGAGCAGGTTTTCTCTGGGTAGCTCAATGATTGCTTGTTTCATGCCTGCAGATAGAAATGGGCAGCACCAATGTCAGAATTGGATCAACCATATTTGGACCAAGGGAGTATCCAAAGAGACAGTGAAGTATTGCTGGTTTTGTGTCTTCTGAAGTATTATATTGTTGTTTTGTAGTGTATGTAGTTCTTTTGTCAATTATTGTTGAACCTTTGGCTTTTAGGTTATTCAAAATCATACAGCATGGTCCCATGATATTAAAGTATAAAATAAATAATAATATTTTGTATATGTTGGGGGTGTACTTGTATACATTCTGAGGACACCATTTTCCCTTTTCCTATTAACTAGCATTTTGTACTGCACACGAAAATTCATATTTCAATATTCAAATATTGATAGACAACAATTTGTAACCCATACTATTAATCCCTTTTGCAAGGTAGATGCGGCTTTCAACATCGTTCAAAATTCTTCAAGTTTTAGCATTGTCGGTGCCTCGGCGACCTAGTCGATGTCTAGGAGGCCTAGGTGATGCTTAGGTGGTTTAGTCGACCGCTTAGCCGGCCAGTTGCCTAGACCACCGATTATGGTGATACGCTAGGTAATCGGTTAGATATCAATTAATCGGTGCTTAGGCGGGATTTTTGCAACACTGGTCTTATGTAAAACGGTCATATATGATAAGAATCATATTTTGCCTACTCCGCTGATATCTCATGTCTTTGTAAATTACGATAAACAAGACCAGATGCGGGTGCATATGATGCCCACTTTAGACCTAATCCCTACACTATTACTGTTGAGTTTCGAACCTTTTCTTTCAAAGACGGTGTATTGAACTAGTGAGTTCGATAAGTTAAGTCAGAGTAAATGTTGGTGCATACAAATATCTGTTCACTTTGGACCTAATTCCTACACTATTAATGTTGAGTCAAACCTTTTTCTTTCAAAGCCGGTGTATTGAAATAAGTTAAGCCCGTGCGAGTAGCACTCCGACTACTTAATCCTACTATTGCGTCATCTTCCCAACCGTTTTTTCCTTTTCCGTTTTCATTTCTTTCCCGCTTCGCTCATTGACACAGTGGAAACTATACAGTCTCCGTCGTTTCCTTTTAAGACGAGAAATCTCAAGAAAACTGAAACGAAAAGGTAGAAGAAGAAAAACGTGAATCGGTATCGCGAGCTGACATAGGATGGCTAATCTCCTTCAGGATGCCTCCATGAGTTGCGCCGCCGGAGTTCAGCCTTACAATGGCGGGAAAGTGCAATCGGCCGAGGAGCTCTTAATCGACATCTGTAACCCTCAACTTCGAGAAAACGCTCTTCGCGAACTCTGCACGGTCCGTACACTCAAGCTCTGTCAAATAACTGTTCTTCTTCCCTGTGTTGAACAATGTTTAGTGAATCTAAGAGTTGATTTTCTAAAATTCTGAATGTGATTTAAATTTACATTGTTTAAGTGATGAAATTGTAATATGGAAAGCATATGGGCTTAACATTCTCCTGAAATAGGAGACAACAAACTACTTATATGTAGTATATTTAAGCTTAAAGAACTTTGTCAGTCAATTTTAATTTATCAAAAGGTAGATATAGTTAGTCATGAACAATGATATTGTTATATATATTTTTTTGGTTTACTGATATACAGAAACATCGGGAAGAATTATTTCAAGTTTTGGCCCCTTCAATCTGGAAATCATTTGGTACTGTTGCTGCACTCATTATGGTATTCTCCCACTATTTCCCCATAATTCAGAATCTCTTTGTCAGCTTATTTTATTTTACTTCTTTCAATAATGATTTTCTTATACAAATGAATGAAGGATCAGGAGTCAGTCAATTGATCTCACAGTAGTATCTTGCCTTTAAGGATAAAAAATATTTGAAATTGGTGGCTGCTTGTGGATGTAAGTTCTTGTGCTTTAAGCTTCTGTGAAAACTTGATTGTAGGAAATTGTTTCCATCTACCGTTTATTGCCATCACCAGAGTTGACTCTTGAACGATCAAATACAGTTTGCAATGCGCTCATTGTTCTCCAGGTACATGGCCTTCTCTGTTTCTCTGGATGCCAAAATCTTATGCTATCTGCCAATAACTTATTATTTTATCTTTATCAATGATAATATACTAGTAGTGAACAATTGGATTGTAATAATTATCTGAAGGCATTTCCATCAAAAATGAATTTCATAAACCAGGAAAGAATGTTGTGCTGGTTGTTGCAATATAACTCCACTTTAGTAGTCATTGCTAGGGTTTGGTTCTGTATAAAGATTAAAGAGCAAAAGAAGGAGAAGAGAGTAAAGGAACATCTTGTTGGGGGTGGGGGGATAGCAATTTTAAGAATTGATGCAGTCTGTATGTCTTCATTTTCTAAAGATAACCATTTTGGCCCTCGTATTTCCAAAGTTATTCAGCTTTGCACTATATTTTGCAGTCTTTAGCTGTTAACCCAGAAACCCGAATACCATTTCTTGATGGTAAGTTTCTTTCAGTATGTAATTAGTTAATAAGAAATGTTCCATGCGGTAGGACATGGAAGAGCTTATAAAAAAAGTGCTTCTGACTGGTCTCTTCTGAATTGCAGCTTGTATTCCTTATTATGTCTATCCTTTTCTTAAGCTAACAAGCCACTCAACACCTTTGGAAAAGCTCAGGATTTCAAGCTTAGGCATCATTTGTGGCATTGTGAAGGTAATTAGCTATGCATCCAATGCATGTTGTCTTCTTTCTTGTACTGCTAGCTATTCCCGCTTGTTATTAAATAGATATTGATTAATTTATTTCAATTACTGGATTGAGACTGATGCTATTGAAATGCACATTGTAAGACCTCTGGTTTTTTTATTTCACAACTTCTTAACAAATCAATAGATATAAATCCTCCTTCGTTTCTTTTGGTTGAATCTTTCCAGGAGGGTGAAACTAAAGCTATCAAGTTTCTTCTAGTTACAGAAGTAATGCCCCTGTGTTTGAGCTCAATGGATATTGGTGATACACTGTCAAAACAAGTTGAGTGATCCAGGCCTTCTGTATTTGTGTGTTGTGTGACATGAACAGGTGTGCACAAAAAAAAAGAAAAGAAGCAGAACCTACAAAAGCCATCCACATTTGGACTTACATCTGAGTCTTGGTTTCTTTATTTCAGCACCTTTAATGAGTGATGTAGCATTTAGCCCTTCTAAGACATCCTAATTTCATGTTTTTTACACTTTTTGGACAATGTTTCTGCGATAATGACCTACACTTGTACGATGCATCTAAATAAAGAGCTTTTTGGTGATAGGCTGCAACATTCATCCTGCAAAAAATGCTTTCACATGATATGGGTCTGGAATACATTTGCACCACAGTTGCACGTTTTTTAGCAGTAGTCCAGACGTTGAAAAATATGGTGGTTTTCCTTTCCGAGAAGCCTTCATCTGAATTGCTGAAACACATAATTCAGTGCTACATTCGGTTGTGTGATGATTCCAGGTTTCTTTGCTGCCTCTCTTTAAGTTCCTTTCCGCTTTTCTCACCAAAATTCTGCCTCAAACTTCCTTTACTGCAGGGCTCGTGATAAAATCAGGTACTATCTCCCAGATAGGCTAAAAGATGCCACCTTCTCTAATTGCTTTGAAGTAAGCATTGTCATCCATAGCTTTTTATCCCCTTTTTATTGGATTAAAATTAAAATTATAACATTGATTCTATTCTGTCAGGAGGATCCAGATACTAAGATGTCGCTACAGTGTTTGCTTTGCATAGTAAACAATGCTTGATTTGCTCAACGAGGATGATAATCTCATTGGATGTGCTACTTCACTCTCTAATTTGTTTGCAGTTACGGATAGATCCTTGCTCCAAATGCAAATTCATAAAAGTGTATCGGAAAAGCTGTAAACTCAATACCAATGCTAAAAAAATTTTGTTGCTCTCATTGATGATGATATGATGAACATCATGTACAGCTGTATTTGGAACTGAATAAAGTTGTATGATAATCGAATGATTCATTGCCATGAAAATAAGAAGAGTTATTGGTTTTGTTGATTTGTATATAGGAAATTAATGTTGAAAAGTGAGATAAGGGGATGGATGGTATCTAATCAGGGACCATTGTCACAGCCTCACAGGCTAGGCCACACAACATGCAAATGGATTTTATTCTCAAGTATCAAATCAAAAGGCTAAAGTGAATTGAAATTAAAGCTAGTCTCCGTTTAAATGGGATAAAAAGGTTTTGGACTTTGTCATTTAAAAAAGATGAATCTAGATTCTAGGATTCTGAAATACACGATTTAACTTATAATTTAACTAGGGAAGTTATCTCTCCTCAATTACATGATATGGAATGATATACTCCCATCCCACCCTCAACAATAGAGCATAGTTGGCATGCACTATTAAAAAAAGTTCAAGATTACTTTATCGGTCATGATCTTTAAAAAAATTTATTTTTTGTATAAATAGATAGACATACATTAATTTTCTAGTTTAGTTTATTTGGAGTACGCCAAGAGTAATAAACAAAACAGTAAGTAAACACTAAGGCTAATCCCATCCCAGCAAACACCCACTTTCTAAATGATGTGGCTTTTTAAAAGCTATTTTATTTTAATTTTTTTTTTCTATGTTGGATAGAAAGCTTGCAACTCCAGCAAGCTTTCTAATACTGAGCGCAGCCTTTGTGTACCTTTTTTTTTTTTAAAAAAAAAAATTGTTTTAATTTATTAGTTATTTATAATATTATATTATTATTATATTTATAATATAATATGAAAGTGGTATCACTTTAGAAAAGTGAGAGAATATTGAAGGGATGTAGTGTGAATAGTAAATGATTTACAAATTGAGCAATGTGGAAGTGGAACCTATTTTAAAGAGTGAGAGAGATTTGTAGGGATAATGTTATCCTAAGCTGTATTTATTGTTACACTACTGTAAGTGTTTGATGCAGGTCAATATAGTACAAATTTGTTAAGTTTTGACACGAACTATTTAATATGTTACGATATAGAGTAATATTTGCCAAAAATTTAATGTATTTGCAGGTGAACGAATCATGACATATTAAAAAAATAAATTAATAAAGGGAAAAGTGCATTTTTCGTCCCTAAGTTATAGGGTAATTGTAGGATTCGTCCCTAAGTGTTGTAAATACCCACTTTTCATCCCTAAGTTATAAGCTATGATGCAATTTTCGTCCTTTTTCTAACAAAGGTGTTAAGTGACTGTTTAATGTAAGGGTAATTCTGTCCAAACACATTTAGGCTCATTATTAATTTAATATTTCCCTAATTATACTCTTGCGTAGGTTTTCAACACTGACTCTTCCACTTCACAGTTCACGCTACTATTTTTTCATATTTCAAACACACAAAATTGATGGTCAAGAGATGAAGCATTCTAAAAATTTCTCGATGATTAATCGGCGATTACTTGGCTGGAAGGGAACTCTACCGTGTAAGTTCTTCCCCTTTGTTAATTTTCGAAGGTTTAAGCAATTCAATTTCTCGTTAATTTTGCAAGGCATATTTTTCTTTAATTTCGTTATTTTGTTTTAATGTTTAGGGCTTAGTTTTTGTTTGTTTGCTTGTTGGGTTAAATGTTAGTTCATGTTACTCCATATTTGTTTAATTGTTTTGCATTTAGATTCTAAATATTTTACAAATTAGTTTATATAATTGAAAAATTTGTGTATTTGTTTAATTGATTGTTGGGTAAAATATTAGTTCTTGTTATTTGTTTAATAGTTTCATGTTTAGGGTTTTGAAATTTTTATGAATTAGTTTATGTAATCAAAAAAATATTGGATCCACGTATGAATAAAACCAGAATAGTATATTTGTTATTCTTTGTTTGTCTTCATTATTTAATGTTGATTAGTGTTGTACTTGTTTAATTGTAAAATATATTTTGGTTTGTTTGTTTGTTTTTTTTTTTAACCGAGACTTTTGGTTTGTTAGATTCACATGAAGGACATAGTGGTGAAGGGGGTAACTGTAATTCTGAGAATGAAAAATCAACATCATTAGATGGTGAATTTGATGATTCTCAGTTTTCAAGTGAAGATGAACATGGTAATGTTGCTGATAGTGCAGCTACAAATGTTGTAGAGGAATTTGGTAGTTCAATTGCCCAAATAAATGAAGTAGATTGTGTTGATTCTGAAGATGAATTAAGGAGTATTAGTTCAAATTCTGATGTGGAGGAAGGGAGTAATTCTAGTTTAGTTTTTAGTGAATCAAAATTCAACTTGGAGGATTTTCAATTTCAAGAAGGAATGATTTTTAAAGATAACAAGGAGTTTAAGTGGGCAGTTGAAAGGTATGAAGCATTGAGAAAAAAGGATGTCTACTTTGTGAAGAATGAGCCTAGGAGAGTTAGAGCAAAGTGTAGGGATGTAAATTGTGACTGGGTTATATTTGGTTCTAGGAGCAATGAAAATTGTCCTTTTACCATTAAAACATATAGGCTCAATCATAGTTGTGGTGAACAACATGACAATCAACTGATTAAATCTGGATTTCTTGCCAAATATTATAAGGATGAATTCAAATTAAATGAGGAATGGGGCAGAGTTCAATTCCAAAGGCATGTGAAGAAAAAGTTTAGATGCAATATTTCAAAATTTCAGTCATTTAGGGCCAAGCAAAAGGCAAAGTTGCTAGTAACTGGTTCTCAAAATCATCAGTATAATTTGTTGTCGGATTATTGTGAAGAACTTAAGAAAACTAACCCTGGCACTACTGTGAAGTTAATTTTGGACAACACTTATTCAATGGAGGGTAGGAGTAGATTCAAGAGGCTGTATATATGTTATGGTGCATGTAAAGAAGGGTTTTTAAATGGATGTAGGCCCTTAATTGGTGTAGATGGATGCCATTTGAAGGGAAATCAAAAGGGAGGACAATTATTAAGTGCAGTTGGAGTAGATGCTAATAACAACATGTACCCAATTGCATTTGATGTGGTTGAAGGTGAGTTAAACGAAACTTGGAAGTGGTTTCTTGAGTTATTAGATGGTGATCTTCATATTTCTCAAAACCCCATTGGATGGACCTTTATTTCTGATAAACAAAAGGGATTAGTACCTGCTTTTGAAGAGTTATTTCCATATATAGAACATAGGCATTGTGTGAGGCATCTCCATGCTAATTTCAGCAAGGATGGATATGGTGGTCAAGTCATGAAGCAGAATTTTTGGGCTGCTTGTAGATCAACTACAGAAAGTGAATTTCAAAAGCACTTGGAAGGTTTGAGATTATTAAATCCAAAAGCTGCCCAATGGATATTAGATAGGGAACCAAGACACTTTTGTAGGGCATATTTTTCTGATTATCTAAAGTCTGACATGCTGCTGAATAATTTGTGTGAGTCATTTAACAGCTCCATTCGTCATGCAAGGGATAAGTACATACTAACAATGTGTGAGAGCTTGAGAATTTACCTAATGTCTAGGATGCAGAAGAACAGAGACAAAATGAAGGGAAGTGTAATGAAAATATGCCCTAAAATCATAAAAATTCTTGAACAAAACAAGGCACACACTGGTGATTTGATAGCATACAAAGCAAATGATGACAACTACCAAGTTGAAGACATTTCTGGCTTTTTTAAGACTTACAAGGTAAATTTGAATCAAAGATGTTGCAGTTGTAGGAGGTGGGATCTTAATGGAATCCCTTGTAGTCATGCCATTGCAGCAATTAGAACAAAAAGGGAAGTACCTGAAGATTATGTCCATCATTGCTATACTGTGGAAGCATATATGAGGAGTTATAAACCAGCAATAATGCCAATTCATCCCTCAGATTTATGGACAAAAACTGGCCAAAAACCACCACTACCACCCAAGTATAAAGTGCAACCAGGCAGACCAAAAAAACTAAGGAAGAGAGATCCTATTGAGAATGAATCTGTTGTGGGTGATAAGCTAATTAGCAAGTTATCAAGAAAGGGTGAGAAAAAGAAGTGTTCAATTTGTGGACAATATGGCCATAACAAGCGTAGCTGCAAAAACCAGGTAATTACACTTGTATTTGTCTTTACATTATGTTTTCTATATTGACAATTTCATTATCATTTATTACACTTTCTCAATAGAGGCAAAATGATGTTGAACCCCCTGCCGAAGTTGAAGTTGAACACCCTGTTGCTACTGAAGTTGAAGTTGAACACCCTGTGGCTAATATAGCTGCTGAAGTTGAACCACTTGCTGTTGAAGTTGCTAATGTTTAAGTCCAGCCCCCTGGTGCTGTTGCATGGTTTGTTCCAAATGATAATGTCATTGAAATGATAATCTCTAATGCTTTGCAGGATGAATTGGTTGGTCAATACTCTTAAATTTTTCTTTTTCTTTAAAGATAATATGTAAATTTGCAAAAACTTTGATTTTCAATGCACTACAATTATCTAATTCCTTGTTTGCAGAACATAACTCCTTGGTCCCCAATGCACACAGATACATAGAGAAACAACTCCATCACAGACAGTTGGAAAGTCACCAAGAAAAAGAAAATTGAGTCAAGGTTGTGCACCAAGAAAGACCAAACAACATAAATGAAGATGATGCTTTATAGCATCAATTAGTATGTAGGTTTAGAAGGCTTTTTGAATGCTGCTTAGATCTTGAATTTTTTATTTTTATTTTTTGTAATGCAACCAATATTTAATACAAGCTAAGTAGTTAATAGGTAAGTTCTGGAATGATTTTTGTGAATCACTTTAATTTTGAAAGTCTTTTGTGTTGAAAACTACCAACATTTCAATATATTGAAAGAAATCAATATTATATTTATTGAAAGTCTTGAGTGTTGTTTTAAAATTTTTGTGTACTTACAAGCCGGAGCATCTCAAAAACAATTTTTAACATCATAAATTTTGCATGTTTAAAATATGAAAAAATGATAAAAGAAATGACCCAGTCTACGCAAGAGTACAAGAGTATAATTAGGGAAAGAGTATAATTAGGGAAATATTAAATTAATAATGAGCCTAAATGTGTTTGGACAGAATTACCCTTACATTAAACAGTCACTTAACACCTCTGTTAGAAAAAGGACGAAAATTGCATCATAGCTTATAACTTAGGGATGAAAAGTGGGTATTTACAACACTTAGGGACGAATCCTACAATTACCCTATAACTTAGGGACGAAAAATGCACTTTTCCCATTAATAAATAAACTACATATTTATGTTTGTATATTATATTCTCAACAAGCTGACTGTACTGTGTGTAAATAAATATGGAGCGGTGGTGAGTGATGAATCTGTTGAAACTAAAATTCAGCTTGGTTGTGTTTCTGCATAATATATAATTGAATAATAATGGTGGATCTGAAAAGCAGGTGGGCAATATGATAGATACATTTGTGGCCGAATCCGAGCCTACGTACGCTGCAGCGTGCCCTCACCGTGGCGTTGCATTAATTGCTCTAGTCTCAAAGATCTAACCTTTCGTTTCTTTATATAGTATAGGGGTAGATTCGTCCCTTAACTTTTAATGGGTCGATGTAAAATTCTTCTCAAACTTCACCTCTATAACCAGTTGAACTGCTGCGGGCGAATCTGTGTAAAATGTAATAACTGATATTTGATTATTAATGATTAAAAGTTTTAACAAAATTAATTTTAGTTGAGGATTTTAGTAAAAAAAAAAAGGGTCAATTTATTTGAGTTAATTTTAATTTTTTCTTAAATTTATAGGTATCCGTCCATTTTTATATTATTATTATTATTGTGACATGATCAATTTTGTTTATCAGCAAAACAATTTAAATATCATTATAATGACATTTTGATCTTTAAATATGGATTTTTTTTTAAAAAAATAAACATAAAAAATATAGCGAATTAACCTACTTTGTATAAAAGTGAGGTTCATTTTATAATTATTGTACACGTTTAGTAATGATAAAATTCTAACATTTGATTTATCAAGATGAGTGTGGATGTGTTCACACTTTTTGCAGGAGAAGTGTTGTCTTACAAAATAGATTTATGATTCAATTTTACAGAATCATATATACTTACTTGAATTATATGGTCTGAATTTATATTGAAAATATAATATAAGCTACAACTAACTCATCATTATGTCTAATAATCTGATCTTTACAAATATAAAGATCGAGGAGATTACATAATTGATTTATGATATTCGTTCTAACTTCAATAATTGTTGGGAGAAAAGGGTTTATGGTAGATATCTTGAAGGCTGTTCCAAGACTCCTCTCTCTGCATCTTTAGCTGCTTGTAAAAGTCCCCAATGAATGTCTCAGCTTTGTTGAATAACTCTTGCCCACTCACCTCATCTTCATCTTCTTCAGCCATCTGATCACTACTACTATCCTCTCCAATGAAAAACAAGCTTGGTGTTGAAGGGCATTTCTTTACACTAGAATCCCCAACAACAGCAAACTTAATCTTCTCATCAGAATTACCACATTTCTCTACTTTCCTGCTGTTGATCTTAGGGTTTGCTGTTGTTTCTTGATCTCTTCTTTGATCTGAAAAACTAGGCTCTGATGATGAGGTAGTAGTAGCAGTAGTGAGAGTGGGTGGTTTCTGGGCTTCACTTTTGTTATAGAAGAAGGAGAGGAGACCAGCTTCTGCACCCAAAGCAATGATGAGAAGATTGACAACAAAGTAGAGATAAGTAGTTCTGAGAGATGAAGATAAGAATGGGGTGATGATGAGAAGAGTAGATATGAGGAAAAGCTTTAGAATCTGAGAGTTGTGAATGCTGTCCATGTTTAAGGTGGTTCAAAATGTGTAGACTGCAGTGGAAGTGTATGTGTTGGGGCCAATTTCAAGTATATATATATATATATATATATATATATATATATATATATATATATATATATATATATATATATAGGGACGCACTCAGGTGCGAATAAGTGCCCAGGAAGGAAATGCGAACGAATCAGTGCGCGACACGTGTCCAGATCTAATAAATTTTAAAAAAAACGCGGTGGCATTTCCGTAAATAATTGAACATCTAGGTGCAAGTAAAATCATTTACAAGTGCATCTACTTTCACATATAAGTGCATGTAATTTTGTCTTGTCAGCATTCATTTTCCGCAAACATTCATGCACCTGGGTGTGCTTATAACTATATGTGCAACTATTTATAACTATAGGTGCAACTACTTATAACTATAGGTGCACCTACTTTCACCTATAAGTGCATGTAATTTTGCCTAGTTAACATTCATTGGTCTGAGTTCAACGGGTAGTAATACCCCTGAAAACCACTCGCAAACATTCATACACCTAGGTGCAACTACTTATAACTATGTGTGCAACTACTTAGAACTATAAGTGCAACTAAGTATTGATGCTCAGTGTAAATTTTTACTTGCACCTGTAATACATTTTACATGCACTTGTAATACATTTTACTTGCACTTCGATGTTCAATTATTTACGAAAATGCCACCGTGTTTTTAAAAAAAAATCAGTGTTTCTCATCCATTAGATCTGGACACGTGGACGAACAGAATTCATTCCTATTTCGCGCCTGGGCGAAGCGTTCGCACCTGAGTGCGATTATATATATATATATATATATATATATATATATATATATATATATATATATATATAGAGGATCATCATATGAGATCCTCTGTTTAGTTAAGATTATGAGATCAGTGCATCAATCTAATTAATTTTAATGGTTGAGATTAAGTGTGTCTAAATGTGATTGATTTAGATTGGTCTAAGTAACATATATATATATATATATATATATATATATATATAACTTATTTATTTATTTTAATTATAATAATTATTTGGGGGCGGGGAGGGGTATCCCCGTCTCCATCCCCGCTGGGGAATTTTAAAAATTTTTCGTCCCCATCCCCTGTGGGGGCGAGGATCCCCGACGGGGACAGGACACATTGTCATCCCTAATTTATATACCACATTGCCACTGCCCTTGCCAATGACCTTGTGGTCGAATGGTACTAAGTTGTTCTTCCATTTGGGAAATTATGGGTTTGAGTCTCAAAGACAATATTGACTCTTTGTGCTTCAGTAAGATACCACTGTCTTTGGCGTACAAGTTTTATACAATTATGAATTCCCTAATACCTCTAGCGAAAGATACACTGAGGGTGTTTAGTAAATAATTGTTAACTGATTAAGTTATTGGGGTTGATTAGTTAATAGTGTTTGGTAAATAATTATTAGCTGATTGAGTTAGTGAGTTTGATTAGTTAATAGCATTAGGTGATTGTACCAAAGGTCAAATGTTCAATCATTGGCTTTGGGAATGGAACAGTCTTAAATCTCCAGGCCAGTTGTCCTACCCAAAAGAGGTGCCTACAATCCATCGAAGGAATTAGTCACTGTATCCGATGGTAAAAGTCCTAGTATACTCAAAAAAAGAAAAACAAAAAAAAAACATTATTAACTGATTGTAGAAAGATGTTTATGCAGCTTTTAAAATTTTAGTATTTTGAAACAATAAGCTATTACCAAAAGCTAATTAATCAACGCTTATATTGGTTGTTTAACCAAGCTAAACAGCTAATAATGATCAAACAAGTCAAAATTGACAAATAGACTATATATTTTACCAGATACGACCAATGTGTGTAAACACAAATATGATAAAGATGACCACATTTGAATTCAAACGAAACCAAGAAATCTTCCATAACCGGAACACATTGTATAAAACTAGGGAGGTTATAATAATAGGAGTGCAACTACAACCATGTGAATTACTAGTATTCGTAGCTATACTGCATGAATTTTTTGTGACAAAACTCTGAACAAATGCAAAGTAACATTACTGCTACATATGATCGAAGTACATATCTAGGAAGCATCTAGTAATTATATAATTTTCGTGCAGTTCCAATGCTCTTCCAATGCAAACCCAAACTAAAAAATCATCACCAGTAATTAAAAACATCGTAAAACGCAAACTAATGCTCTTCCAATACAATGACATATACAAATATGCTAATATACAACCGATCCCTAGCTATATTGGTCACATATGTAGAAATTTTTTATATACTGTACCAGAATTAATTTATGACAGCTTTTGGTGATTTCGAGAATAAAAATCACCTAATAAATGAAATATTAAAAGTGCATCTCTTCCTCTCAGTGTTATCACTACAAAAAAAAAAAAAAAAATGTACATAGACAACAATTTTCTACTGTGGTTGTAGAGGTAAAATTTTTGTTGTTAAAGCCAGTGTTGTTGTAAGTCCCGTGCATAGACAACAGTTTTTGAACCGTTGTCTATTAAGTATTGTTAAAACTAGTGTTGTTAAAAGTCACGCACATATACAATGATTTTTGAACCGTTGTCTATTGAGTGTTGTTGAAATCGGTGTTGTTAAAAGTCACGCACAAAGATAATGGTTTTTAACCGTTGTCTTTTCTAAAAAGATAACGGTTTTTGAACCGTTGTCTATTGAGTGCTGTTGAAACCGGTGTTGTTAAAAGTCACGCACATAAACAACTATTTTTAACCGTTGTCTTTTTTAAAACCGTTGTCTATTGAGTGTTGTTGAAACCGGTGTTGTTAAAAGTTACGCACATAGACAACAGTTTTAAATTATTGTCTTTTGTAGAAAAAATAAATTTTAACCGTTGTCTATTATGTGTTGTCGAAATCTGCTGTATTCTCAATAATATATGAAAGACAACAGTTTTAAACCGTTGTTTTTAACTTGCTTAGATTTTTAAACATAATCATATTAAAAAAAAAAAAAAAAAACAATTTATCCAATCACCATTTGTAGTTCCACAATTTTGC